AGAGATTCGTCATCGAACCGCGTTGCACGTGCGCCGTGCACCGGATATATCGGCTGCGGCGCGCAGGGCAAAGTGTATTGTGAGACTGCTGGCGGGTGCAGCGCCGGTGTCCCGGCTTTCCTATGCAACGCACTGCACCCTGCCTCCCACCCTTCTGCCGTTTTTCGCTCCCCCTCTCTTGCCCTCTTTGCTTCATCCTGTTTCTAGATCGTACATATATCGTCGACGTATCAACCATGTGACCATCCTCTTTAGCTAGGCCGATTAGGTTGCACCACCGACGATCATTCTGCCTCCGTTCTCCTTCTCTCTCTTTTTTATTTACATTTTTTATCACGCTATTTTCCCTCTTCTTTCAAAATTAATTTTAATCTTTTCCATTTTAATCGATGCTATATCTTTTAATCATATAACTAATTATATTCCTTTGCATATTACTTCAAGGCCAATTTTTTTAAATAGAGAATAGAGAGAGAGAGAGAGAGAGATTTTACTTCTCTTTCTCGCGCACATCCCTCGCATTCCAAGCGCTCGCCGCGCGCGGACGCATCCGCGTCCGTACTTTGCTCGCTGGAATTTTTCGTCCCCCTTCCTCTCCACGTGGAGAGGAACCTCTACGACGACCGGCCGCTTCCATCTTTATTCACTCCCCCTGCGAGCGAGCGCGACGGCAGATGCACGCCGCTTCTCCGCTGTTGCACGCGCGAATGTACTTCTCTATATATCCCTCTCGTGAAAACGGACGTCGTCGTTCCATCGGAATGCTCCTCTCTCTCTCTCTGTTCCTCTCGCTCTCACCACTTCTGCCGGACTCTACCACTGCGTCATTTCTGCTCGCCCCTGCTCGTTTCCTCTCTCGGTCTTCCCCGCTTCTTTCTCTTTCTCTTTCGTTCTCAGCCTTGCACTGAACAGTGGCGGATTCACACATCACGCTGCTCTAACATAAGTACGTTAATTCCTTGCCACCCCTCTCGTTGATATTCTTCATACTTTAGATTCATTCCTGTTGGCTTTTTTACCTTCATATTTGACGTGAGAGAAAAAGACAAATGGAGAAAGAAAAACATATATAGCCAAAAAAATATCCAACGAGTCTAACAATTACTGATCTCGAGAGTTCTTTGTTTTTAAATCGCTCTGCAAAAATTTATCGTTAAATGTTCAACGTCAATTAAAACAATTGCGCGGTCTTATCAAGTCTCCCATATATGTGTCACAATATTCGGAATTATAAACGTAATATTATTCTCGTACCTCGATTAGCTCCTCGGAGCTAATCTGCCTTTTCCTGCCAATCTATTCCTAAATCCAACACTGTTCTCGAGCCGGCATACCTCTCGCGGTCAGTGCGCCCTACCACTCGTACTACCTACCTACCTACCTACCGCGCGCTCGCACTCGTTGCACCGGGAAATCGAGCTGGCGATGCAGCCGTCCTTGTCGCATGCTGCTCGGCTCCATTCATGTCTCGATTCTCCTCGGGTTATGCAACTCCGATGAGGGACACGGAGCGAGAGATGCACTGCGCCGAGCCGGGCCGAGCTGAGCCGAGTCGCGCCGACTTACCGCGTCTGAGAGTCAAGGAGAGAACTCGGGTAACTTACCGTCGATGTATCCGCTCGTACGACAAGTGTTCTTTCCTCAGTGTAATACCATCTATTATATTCGAATCACAGTTCTTCTCTCTTTTTACAAAGACGCTACTCCAAAATTTTTATCTCTCTAGAAACATAAAGCACATATGCTAGCATTAATATGATAAATGATTTAAATAAAAGAATAGAATAACGATGTACAAAAATTCTATTCTACTGTCTCAGATTAAGCATTTTTAATATTACAATTAATTTATAGGCTACTCTTGAAGAAAAGGAAATGGTCTGTAGTGTGTGGATGGGTGTCTTATATATGTTACGTAGACATATTTTAATGCACTATTTTTATTATACATTTTTATAATTTAAATTTTTATATTATATCATCGCAATATCAAACTTGCGATGAATATATCTTGATGTTAAAATTTCGAGACGACTGATCAATTTAATCTGTACGAGATAACAGTGGACAATAATATATCGCCTCATCAATTTTTCGAATACTTAAAATTCCTATTTAAACGATAAATACTAATTAAGTTACGAAGGCACGTAATTTAATCGAAAAAGATATTCATAATCATAATTTTCAGCTATGAAAATAAAAAGAAGATTAATCGCTCGATCCCATATAGTTTTTATAATTAAGGTTTTTTAATTAATATGTTATCATTTTCACTGATATATATAGATCCCTTGAGCAATTAAATATTAATGGTCAAATAATAAAGTAGTCATAAATTTTAGTAATTTACATAATTGTGTCTGCAAAAATTTCACAATTGACTGTAGGTAACTATATCTAAAGTACAATATGATATAATCACATGATCCACGTAATTACATGATTTTTTATGAAAGATATATTTCTAAAGCACCGCTCGCGCATATATCGCAATCGTCAACGCAATGTTGTGCCATCAACATTTACTGTCGCTTCTACCATCGAAGCTTTGGCTGATACTTATTCGCACTGGTTTAATATAAACCAAGTGTCGGTGGTATACTCTTTTAATAGTATGATTGTACTATTTGTCCGGATTGAGGATCATCGAGAAGATTCATCAGTGATTATTCACAACGATAATAAGAAAAATTCTGTAGAAAAACGCCTAATTGACTTTGAAACTGACAATTTTGATTCTATAAAACGTCAATATCATCAATAATATCAATATTGTAAAAATATATAATGCTGAGATTAATTTTAATATATAAGACAATAGTCTTTATCAAGTCATTGCGTCATTAATTACAATTATAATGTGAGATGCTTCTCGATATCCATGAAACCAGACGATTTTTCTAACGAAACTAAAGTACGTGGAATATAATTCTAAACACAATGTGTAAAGAAACAAGATGTAACAATAGCGACAGCGTGAAAAAAATGCCAATCAAAAATTGATCCTAATCCAAATGCATAATTAAGAAAAACAAAATTATTCTATTGGAGCATTGATATATATTGGCAGGCAAGTATATTGCTTCTCATGTGGTTTGGGATCAATTCTTGATTGCGTGAAAAACTCTCGCTATTACTTTGACCGCTATTACTTTACGTATCCACGACGAAGATTTATCTTATCCTTTCACGTCATGGCTTTTTTTATACATACGTAAGTGTCGGCACACTCGTATATTTCTAATATTTTTGTAATCTATCTCGATAGTGTATCAAAATATAGTCTTTACATTTTATGTAAATGTACAGCGTTGAGAATCAAACTGATTGATCTATATCTTTTAATTATTACGAGAATATGCATGTCGTGAAATATCGATCTCAAGTGCCTTGCGGCGATCTTAATAAAAAGGAAATATTGCACTTATGTCATATTGAGAACAAATATCATATGCATTATACATTACACATAAAGAGAATATAGAGAACTCTTATAAAATTTTGGAATAAAAAACCAACGTCCTGCGTGTATATATATCAAGATAAAAGAATAAAAATTTTATATCTCTTATATATTACAACATTTCTTCCTTTTATTTTCAAATCGTGGAATAGTAACCACATATATATTCCATTTGTTATTACTGTGGGATACATTGTCAATAGTTAAATCGTTAATTAATAGTTATATCGTTAATAAACTTGAAATACAAAAAAGAAAAACTTCTTTTAGAAGTTAAAAAAAAATATTTTTTTAAGAGAGGAGAGAATATATTTCGTAAGGTGGTCTATTTTTATATCAATAAGTATGATAGTATCATTATGTGTTGCAGAAGATAAACGGCATATCATTATAAGAATGAAGTTGCACTATACGTTCTGTGATTAGAAAGGACACATTGTAATGCAATAAATATGCGTACCATTTATACCTTCCAGATATAAGAAATGTAACTAATGATTATGTGCACGTGCATGACAGATATTGCGAAATTCATGCTTTTTATTTCAAAGAGATTTTCATTTCAGAAAAACATAGATTTACATAATACAATAAGTCTTTTATTAAGGAATGATCTAAGAACAAATTAATTCATTGATTTAAAAAATTGCAATAAAAATCTCATATTAACAAGAACAGGTCGAGTAATAATACAAGTTGGAGAAGTAACGTACTTACATTATTGCAATGAATAACACTGATGGATATAATAATCTTTAAAAATATTACACAATAAAATATTGCAGTACTTTTTAATAATATGATATATGGAAAAACTCTTTCTCTCTATCCTCCTCCTCTTCTCTCTCTCTCTTAAAGTGTAATTATATAAGACATATCTCAAAAAACAATATAAAAATAATAGATTATATTATATAAGAAATCAATAAATAATCTACATTAATGCATTAATTAATTCTCAATCAATTGTATCATAATATCATAATATTTATATGTACAAATCTGTTTAAATATCTGATAAAAAATATATATTTATTCATATTTTTCCGATATTATATTCTCGATAACAAAAGAAATAATATAGTAAAATTAATTCTTTTCAACAGTTCTCAACGCTGCACATTGTTAATTGCTTTACCTACTCGATACTAGACAATTTGCTATTGCAATTCGATCTTGCAACTGTCTCGATAATCCTGAAAGACATTGAGTTCGATGTTCGATTTCAAATTTAATCCATTAGATTGTTGTTTCTTCGATTCTACTTGATTTTTAAAATCGCTGAAGACTAGATAGACGGGGAAGACGTTTTCAAAGTGAAATGTAGAGGAAAGCAGAAAATATTCCAGATTAAGAAATTGTACATACTTTGAACAGTTAAACAACTTAATTTTTGTCATCACATTAATCGAACATCGAATCAAAACAAACGAATCAAGATTAAAAGGCAATGTCCAATATCTTCGATTTAATTAATATTTTTTAAATTAGAACTAGTATATAATAATAATATTTTCGGTAAATTCGATAAATTTATAAATATATATATCATAATAAAGTGATCTGGTCTTTTTCACACATGTATTTGTGTGGTAATGATAATGGAGTAATTATTACGATAAAGAAGATGTTCAGCAACATTAAATAATTTCTAACATAAAAATCTATCTCGCTGTGAATACGTTAGGAATCATGGAAAATTCATCTTGAGTCTGATTGGAAATATTTTCTATTTCACTACTATTCGATTTTCTCCTAAGTCTTTAAGGATGAAGGAGAATGTTTCGATGAATTAAAAAAAGATGAGTCAGAAATATTCGCTCTAGCACTTAACTTTCGAATCTCTCGATAAAACGAACAATGTCCAGTGAACACCGCGAATCTCAAGAAGACATGCCTTCGCGATTGTAAATACTCGTTACCGCTGCCACATAATTTTTACATGTTTACAAAAGCGTGGATACACTATGACTACTTTGTGGACGACCTTTAACCTAGGCCAACATCTAGAGACATCATCACCAGGAAACCAACGATAGCTGCCCAGCTAGCGAGTTTGCCGTTTCCACTGTAAACAAAAAATATATGCGACGTTTTCGATCGCAGATTAAGATTGCAGAGAATCAGGTTTGCGAAATTGTCGGAATAGAGATTCTTTCGATAGTGTTGATTACAGTTGAATATGAAATTCATTTTCCATCCTCTACGATTTTACTCGAACGTGTAATTTCGTATTAAAAAAATATTTTTATTATATATTAACAACAGAATGGCCACACAAGCGTTAGGTTCTCTGTAACTTTCTATGCAGTTTTGTTGCGTTTTGAGAAATTAAAAATTGCGTGAGTCCTCTTAGAATTATTCAAAAAGACAAGTAGTCTTTTGGACTTTCTTTGGCTGTCTTCTGTACTTTTATTCGATCTGTCTTGTGCAACATCGCGGTTCGGTATAGACGAGATTCATGCTTGGCAAGAAGCGGGAGGGGAATTTTAATTAGCGCAACCGGCGGCGCGCAGATCGAACGTAAAAATCGAAGGACGCGATGGACGGAGGGAGGACGAGGGACGAGGGTACGGGAATTAAAAAGGCGGCACTGGCGCCGTCGCCCACCACTATCCTCATCGTCTCGCTGCCTACGGCCCCCGTGGCAACGACCTGGGAGAAAGAGAGGCCCAGGATGGCGAGAAATAAAAGGGTTTTCGCGGCAAGTAAGTAGGGATTAAGCACATACAAAGCACACACTCGTGCCGTGCGTATATACACCGGTATTGCACGCGTCACGGCTTGTTGATTTCGTAAATTATATACGGCCATCAATTTTAACGGCCGGCGAAACGCGTCGTTGTATTTCGGTGGGCGTTCTACCACATCAATCATATCCGCGCGGTAAGTACCTCCTTTCGGTGTGCCTCAGAAAATTTGTATTTTTATTGGTTCATTATCGTGTCTCACACATCGCAATAGTCGGGATAACAATGTCGCTTCCCGATGTCGTCGATGTTGCCCGTTGTTATCGTCGTCGTTTGCCATGAAACTTGGCTCTCGCACAAGGTCGCGTTTCGCGGATCCATTAAATAAAAATTGATTTTTGATTCAATTTTTTACCGTATATTAAGTAATTCAGATTGAAATGTTGTAATTTCTTGCGAATAAAAATAATAAAATTCTAACATACCTATATATTTCTATTGGTTTCCTCAAATCTCTCGACAAAACAATTACAATTTAAATGTTATTTTGAATACTTTTTATCGAACATTTTATATATTAAATATTATCGAATATTCTACGTATTAAGCCATTTTTCATTAATTTGGCACTCTTAATTATTACAATCGAAACTACAAAGTGTGCTGCAAAAGGAAATGTGCCAGCTAATTATTCGATTATCTCCGAATAAATGAAAGTTTTGATAAGACAATAAATTTAAATATCCCTATCCCCGTGGAGATCGGCCACGTCGAACACGAAGCACAAGTATCGGTGAAGCAGGCGTTCCTTTTCGCCGAGCAGAAGAAAATGCAAATTGTACGAGGGGCGACCGTTCTTCGAAACACGCCGACTCGAACCGCCGTTGATTTTTGCCGGTATTTCTTATTCCGCGAAAGTACCCAAGTCTCGAGAAAATTCGAAAATCTATCGATTATTTTTTCGATCATTCTCTTTCGATTCGTTGGCATTTCGTTGCATGCAAGACCCAATTTTCGTTAAGTAAAATTGTGAATGTTTTTACAACACAACAATCTTTTCTCGTCTCGTAATCTTGGTTACAATGTGAACATGAAGAAAATTTCTTTCTGATAGTATAAGTGACATGCAGGTTGTTTAGCCCATAATTTTTAACATTTTCTTTAAATAAAGCGAGTAGGCAATGTGTATTTGACAAGTGCTATTCTATAGCTCGATAGTAATACAAATATTACAAATTGTAAGTTGGCACTTATAGCATTTTAGAAATATTCCTCGTCGTTCCTTAAGGAATGAAAACTTGTCAATAATGCACATATTTGTACGCGCGTTCACGTATAAATAGGAAATGTTTATTTCTAAGAGGACCAACCATAAATATACTCTTCGAATGCGATCGTCATTAGAATTTCGAAGATTGATGTGTTGACTGCGTTAGCGTTAAACGAAAAGTTGGATTGCGTGCAATCTATGCAAATGCAATTCGAGATTAAGCGAGAACTTTCTTTCGCAGAGAAAGATTGCACGCGGTCGCGAATAACTATTCTTTCGCGGAGGTCGAGCAACGGTTTCCGCGAGAAAAAAAGAGGAAGGAACGGAAAGAGCGAGCGATCTGTTTTCACTTTTGCGTTTTCCGGCCACCCGGAGGGTTCCCGAGGGAGCGAGCCGAGAACGACTATCTCAGAGGATTCGCGCGCGACGAGAGAGAGGAAAAATAAAGGAGAGAAAGAGAGAGAACGAGCGCGCGCGTCTGGGTACCCGGGCGGTTAGATCGCACGCGAAATACAAAAGGAGCCAATTATAATGACAATGCGCCTTCTTCAGCTAGGCCGCCGCCGGGCCTGGGAAAGAAATTCGCCACGTCCGTTTCGCTGACGGAGCGCTAACTACGGCACTGCCGTCACGCGCCATTGTACCGTAATCGCTCTCGAATACCGCCGTCGTAGATACGTATGCGCTTGTGTGCGCGCACGTGTATATCCGTGAATGAATATATATGCATACATGTACATATATAAATATATATATATATATATATATATATATATATATATATTATATGTGCGTGTCGTACACAAGTAGGAATTCGTAGGACATACACGAATCTTTTCTTCTCATTATTTATGCGTTATGTTACTCCGCGCGGTCATCGAAACGATTCTGCCGAGTTCGGGTAGCTCTCGATGCAAAGTACAAATTTCTGAATTTTAATTGCGAGTTATTTTGCAAGTAAAAGTGAATAAAGCATTGTAATTATCATAGTTCTAATGATTATTGTATGAAAATCATATGTTAAATTAAATAAATAGAAAAGAGAGAGAGAGAAAAAGAAAATTAATTTTTAAAGTTAATTTGCTAAATTTCGTGCCAGTTTAAAATAGAGATGATTAAAGGAAATATATAAAACATGTGTAGATAACACTATCATTTATCGCCGAGTCGCAATCTTTAAATCGATCATTCAGAGATTGTACTTTTTTCTTAATATATAACAAGTATACAGCAATCAACGTCGTTTTTTTCAATGTAGAGATAATATTGTTGACAAAGAATGATCTACGAAGACACCGAGCGATAACGAGAGAGACAACCGTAGGTTGAGAGCAGTCGGAAGTAAAAATCAGATTACACTCGTAAGGCGAAAAATCGGCAGATCGATTGGGTTGGAGAATCGCGTATGGTCGAGAGATCGCCATCGAGCCACCATCCGCATCTCCATTGGCAAGAGAATAAGTCCCGAAATAAAGGGTCATTGTGTCGGTGGGAAAAGCGCCTTCCGCCCTTCTGACTCCGAGCCTAGGCTCGGATTTTAATTCGTTCTGAATGGGCCGAGGGTGAAACGTGAGACGGAAACGGGTGCAAGTGCACCATGGACTGGTGCCTCCGGTACAAACGGTATTTAAAAAAAAGGAGAAGGGAGAGAGAGAGAGAGAGAGAAAGAAAGATAGAGAGAGGAAAGAAGGAAGAAAAGAAAGGATGAGAAGCCGGAACCAGTTAAGGGAACAAGTTGCGTCCAAGACCGTTTGCGCGAAGCAGCTTCACCCTTCTGTATTCAACACCACCTTCCATGTGTTTTTCAACAACGCGTATTTTTCCGAATAAATCGCATAATTAGCTATCGTTTCAAAATATAATCGATGTCAAAAATGTTCGATACAGATTTATTAATTGTGTGATTCTGCTTCTATATCCTTGATCTTATTTTTTACTACGTAAATTAAAATATGATAAGTGTGTCATTCACTAAACGAGAAATCACGTTGCTTTTATTTACATTCTCGAGAGACTTGTATCGAGCGTTACATTTTAATTTTAAGACCGAGTTAAATAAGTTAGTTGTAATTTTGAATATTGTAGGAAAGAGAGCGCGCAATAAAAATCATTTAGCAATTTCAAGATTTCCTAAACAGATAGTTATACGGTACATACCTTTGATGCGCTTCCGGGATGATGTCGTCGATCACGACATAGATCATCGCACCGGCAGCGAAGGAAAGTGCATAAGGTAGTGCAGGTGCGGCGAACGTCACTCCGGCTGCGCCAAGCACACCGGCGATAGGTTCCACCATCCCCGAAAGCTGACCATACCAGAAGCTCTTCAATGTACTAATGCCGGCGGCCTGGAGAGGCAAAGACACCGCCAATCCTTCCGGAAAATTCTGTATTCCGATTCCGATCGCGAGATTTCTGTAACAAATTTCGAATGTCATGTTCTTAATCGCAAATATTAACAAAGTACTGCTGTAAAATCCTCCACATCAAGAAAGGGAGATTTTTTTAATAGTGTTAGCGAAAATAATAAGTATAATAATATTATATATTCTTCATCTATAATTGAACACGATTTTTTCAAAAAATTCCAATGACATTTCCGCGTCAATCGCAGCGAGATTCACTGATCTTACTTCGAGTGTAAGAAATATCCACTCGCAAATTCCGCAAGATGGAAGCGCAAGGCCGCAACTGGCAGATTGCAACGGCGGTATGCAAAAATAGCAGCCGTGGAATGGGAAAAAGAGAGAAAGAGAGACAGAGAGAAAGAAGCGCTTAGCGTGATCGCACGATAAGAACGAAACCAAAGGAGACAAGGTGGCTCCGCACGAGAATCAACTTGCGCACACACACACACACACACGCATACACACACACACACACACATACACTTCACCGGCACAGCGGTGAGTTCTTGAAACTGGTCGACGACTTCGACATTCCCCGGATTTTTCCATCTTCGCGAGCAGAGCGCGAGAGCCGCGAGGCTTCCTAGATCCAGCCGGTGTGTACCGCTTGCTCTTTCATGCTTACCAGAGAGCGGCAAAGCTTACTCGACTAGGATCGCCGCTCATAAATAAGATGTCAATGAACGACAAAGTCTTGAGTTTCGCTTCCAGTTACGCGGCCTGTAACGTCTGGCACGACATTAAATTATCGGAGAAATAGCCGCGAATAAATCGATGTAATGTAATGTGCTCGTATCATCAACATTAACAATTAATTATTGTCATATTAATTGCATGTACGTGGGAATGGGTGTGTCTATCCACTAAAGATTTACATATAAATGACATAAATTAACATGACACTATATACATTTGACTGTTAATTAATTCTCCAGTATAATTAAGGTATGTGTGTGTGTGTGATTTTAATTTCAAATTTAATAGGATAAAGATAAATCTGTTTTTACACGAGTAAAAGGACATATTAGTGAAAAAAAAACACTCTGCGCTATTCGCCAAAATAATCAAACGTGCCGGTGACACGATCGATATGGAAGGGGACACAGCGTTGGCTTCGTAAGCTCGCGGGACCTCTTTCCTCGACCTCGGTTCATCTCTGTCTCTCTTTTCCGCGACCTCGCGGACCGCCAAGCGTGATCTATGGTCCAAGTAATAGCATGGTAGAATCACGTCGAAGTACGAGGGAGAAAGGCAGGCAGAGCGAGAGCGAGCGAGAAGGAGGGAAGGAGAGAAGGAACAGCGGGAGAGAGAGATGTAACAGGTGAATGAACGACAAGATCGCGTACACAGTCTAACACTCATGCCGGCGCACAAGCCAGCGGGATATCTCGCATATTGCACGTCGTCGTCGCGGAATTCTCCTCATCTTCGGAATATCATCGCGCTGAGCGCTCTCGACCCCGCCGCCGCTTCGATCCAATCCCCGGCGACGACGAATCCTTCCATTCACTACTCCGAACGGGTCGAGAAACGCAGGTGAACTTTTCGAGTTCGAAACTTGGCGAATGAATCAATCGCCGATAGGTCGAACTCCGCGAGATGTGTCAGAAATCAGCTGTTTGTCAAATTATGTATGAGAATATTTTCAGTAGATAGTAGGTTGCAGTTGTATTTTTAACAAGTTTCTAAAATCATTATAATGATTCTTTTACACTCCTTTCTACAGCAGTATATTGGAAAATTATTAAGATACATGGAACAGTTTCTTCGGCGAGAGGTTCTTGCTTCTCGAGTGATGGTTAGATTTTCTTCGAAGGTAATTACAAAATCAATTATAATCCGGAATCTCTATCGCGATGAATACATCTGTTCTGCTTCTCTCTTTCTCTCTTATCGGTATAGCTTCAATGAGAGATTCTCAGAATCGGTGTAATAGTATTCCTATAAAACCAGAACCTGAGGCCTCGCAAGAATCCCATGGCCGGAGTTGAATTGAAGAACGGGAAACGGGCAAGAGACCCGTTGAGTTAGGGAGACGATCCAATTTCTAAGACCCATAAGAAGCGAGAAAACGGTACCGAGCTTCATGGACTCTTCGCTAACTATCCGAATGAATGACTCGACCGGATCGGATGGATTCGCGCGCGCACGAAACGAAGAAAAACCCTTCGGTTCTGGTACGTGGAACGCGGTAACGAAGATCTTCCGCGATCTAGCTCCCATAATTCGATATTCATGAGCATCAGACGAGGCGCACGCTATAGAAAGAGTTAAGCCGTTCGTAGGGCTTAAGACTCATCGTTAGCAATCATAGATTGCGACTTGACGAATAGTATAAGTCCCTTTTCTTCGTGCTGAGAAATATAAATTAATCCTACAAATAATTAAATTAATAATTGCAAGCATAAAATTATTATTTTACATAATTACAATTATTTTATTTTAAATATAATTAACGTTTTACGTAGGGTAATTTTTATTTTTAAAATTATGTATGTTTTTCTTTAAATGAGATATTTCAGATCTTTTGTTTTTCAATTTTCTTTCTCTCTAAAAATAAAAAATAAAAAAAAAAAACATTTTTTACGAGTGTTAAACCTTATTGATACAAATTTATTGAAAATGCATTTTCGAATATAGTAATACTTGTATAAAATAAAAAAATTTTAAGATATTTCATGAATTTTGCGAACATCGATACGTATTATCTCGAAAGCAGGATTACCGTGTCAAGGAAATAAAATTCTTGACAAAAATACTTCCAATACGGTCGTGCAAAAATACCTAACCACCGTATGAATGCCAAGCGAATAATGCCCGAGATAGAAAAAAAACTTAAGCTGGAGCGATCCAGATGCAGTACAGTAGGTTCTTTCGGCGAATCGTCTATCCGCAAACGATCGAGATTTACAAGAAACAATAGATCAATGCGAATGGCAGAAGAGGAACACGACGCAGCGAGGTCGGTGGACGACGATGAAAGAGTGGTAGAGGCAGCACAGGTGAATGAATGACGTGATCCGTGCTCTGGCGCGATCATCCAGTATAAGGCGATTCTTTCCTCCGTGGGCGTATGGGAGCGGATCCTCTCGCGGGCCCGCAGGGTCCCCGGCGAGTGGTATGTCATGCCGCGACATGTCGCGCGTTATTTCATGCGACGACGGCATCATCGTCGCCGCATTCCTGCGGCGTCGAGGTACATAAGTGGTTGTACAGTTAACCCGTCGAGTCCGGCTGTTCGCCAGTTGCATCGGGGGAGGTCATCCGAGTTCCGAGAACGATCGCCCTCGTCCGCCCGTCTCCTCTCGCCATCGCTTGTACTCGCCACGTGTGTCCGTGCACGTCTGCGTCCGATCGTGTATCGTCGCTCCTTTTCCTCGCCGTGGCACGAGTACGGTTATCTTTCTCCCTGAGTACTCGACTACCTTATCGCAGGCCCTTCGCGCCCTTCATCGGTGTTTCGGAGCTTCTTTACCTTCTTGAATTCTTTCTGCTATCCAAGAGTCCCGTTACCCTCGATTTCGGGTGTCTGTCGCACCAGACGGCTAGAGCGATGGTAAATAATTGGAATCGAGAGAATGAAATTTACGCCAACCGTCGTTCATAGAGTGATGCAATTACTTGACATTTTATCAGTTTCATTGTTGCTTATGTATGACTGCGAAAGATTCTTTAAGATGCTGTCTATAATATTATAAAGCGTCGAAAACAGACGAGATATTTCACTTCTTTAGAGAAGTGAAACATCTTGTCTATGATTGTTATATTAGATATTTAATTAATCTTTTTACCATCAAGATAAGCTTCATATTTTACTTGATGAGAATGACGTGTATGCAATGTATTAATTATCATCAACCTTTCTCTAATGCTAATCACATTGCCATAACATTTATGCGTTGCTAATTTATCCATTAGCAAAGTTATCATTCTTTCATACAGACGCGACCACGTGTTAACTTGAGGCCGCAAAAGATTCGAACGCAAAGCAGCAGCCGGACCGAGCAAAGGACGGCGAAGGAAAGTACACGAGAGAAGTCGGGTAGATAACCTTAGGAACGGGGAGGCTGAGAGCTCTCTCACAGGGAGTAGAGGATGCCTGACCGAGGAATGCTTCGCGCGGGGAGTTTCTCAGGATCCGGGAGAAAGTATTGGCGAGTAAGTCGATATGCGCGTAGATCCATGACGAGTTTTCAGGAGGGAATTTTTCTAGTGAAATCTCTCTTTCGCATGACCGTCTTAATTAAGGTTTCATGCAATATGGGCAAAAAAAATTGACGATGTGACGATAGATATTCCAACTGAAATAGAATAAAATAGAATAATAATAGATAAATTTAAAAAAATTATTTAGCTCAAAAGAGAGTGAAAAAATTTTGCAAATTTTTTTGCACACATTACAAATAAATTTTCTAATCTAGTACTATCTAAAATTTTCTAATGTAGTTTTCTATCTTTTCTTATTGCTTGTCTATACAATTTTGCAGTTTAGAAGTCTCTGTCGAGTAAAATATCGAGATTTGCACAGAAATAAACGTTAATTAAAAATCGATAAAATCTATGAATTCCAAATATCTTATAAAAATTCAAAGTAAATTCAAAATTTGTCAAGTAAAATATGTATAAATTCTCTGATTTATACAGAACTATTGCAGAAAGATTCTCGATCTGAAATTCTCCGCATATAAAATCCCAAAAGCTTATATTTTTGCTTCAACTTGATAAAGAAATTAACAACAAACGAGTGGTTATCTCGATTCTCATGTATGCGCGGCAGGATGTTTAGAAAAACCATTAGCTCGGTATCTCTTTTTCTTCGAATCTACGCTTGTGCGTAGATTAGAAAGTGTTTATCATGTTGGTGGCCCACCGGATCTTGTTATGTGAGATACGTGACGGTGAAAAAGAGGCTAACAGGCGGCTATTCATTCATAAAATTTCTCCATGACGGTTCAAGTAATTTACTATCCTTGGCTTTAATGTAAATTCGAAATTTTCTTCCATAAT